TGGTGACCAGGAAGCAGAGGGAAGGGAGGAGCCAGGGTGGGAGAGACTCTCCCAGGTCACGCCCACAGCGATCCACCTCTTAAACCAGACCCCAGCTGGTAACGTCACAGTTAGCTACAGCACCCCCATGACCCAGTCACCCTTTAGAAAGCCTTGCCTTTGAGCACATGAGGCTTTGGGAGGACATTCAGATGTGAATCATAGTGGGAGAAAGTGGTATTCACTGATTCCTTTGGTTTAAGTATCCCCATCGTAGATGATACCTAGCTAAAACCTGAGGCCACTATAGGAGAGCTGCTCGAAGCACATCATTATGTAATACTTTCACCTCAAGAACATCACTAATATATAATAACTAAAAAATACATTTTATGTATTTTCTTTATTTACATTGTATTTCAGCACAAATTCTAAAAATGTCATAATCGGTTTTGCCAATTCCAGCACCCCACTAATGGATACCTGAACAAAATCATACAGATGAAAAGCATAGAAATTGCTGATTTACTATTGTGCAGGGCAAGAGGCAAAAACAGGTCAAGGTGACTCTGTGATTTTTATACCTATCAAGGAGAGGGGGTGACTGGGAGGTGCAGATTTGTGAAGATATGATGTTAAATTTCCATTCTGGTTATTTTTTCAGATAATTGAGGGCCGTGTGAAATATAGCTTCCCATTTGTACTCAAAGGAAAGGTCATTGCTTTAGGAAGCATTTGTTTGGAGATTGCTACTGAGCCATGACGGAGAACTAGGGAGAGAAGGATACAAGATTTGGGACATTATTTGTATTGGGAAGGGGGACTGGCAGAGGTGTGTAAATCAAAGGAGAGAGAGAAGGAACAATCCAGAAAAGCAGGTAGATAATCGGCATAGGACTCAGATGAGAAGAAAAAAACTACATACTGAGGCATGGTCGGAAGAGGTGACAGAGGATTTATGAAGATCACAGTTAGAGTTCGTCTTTGGCTTTTGTTCCTGACTTGATAGGAATTCTGTCTGTGTTGGTGGACGCGTGGCTCAACTCTCTTTGCTAATTTTCTGCACTGTGTTTTGAGTTATTCTGTGGGATAATGGCAAAATCTCCTCCTTTCCTACCATCAACCCAAGAAAGCATGGGACGTTCTCCTTACCCCCTGACTAATGTCAGCCAAAACAAGGCAGAGGGACTTTCCTAGGAACCTACCTTGGGGAAAGTCAGGGCTACGACAGAGTCACCCCAGCTGGCAGTTCCTGCAAGGGCAAATGGCAGAAAACAGCATGAAGCAATAGGGATCTCAGGAACAGTGGTGCTGAATTGCAGTGCTGTGTCTCAGGAACTGCATGCAAGTCCCTCCTCTGCCACCTGCCGTGAGCTGCGTGACTTCAGGGCGGTACACAAATGTTGTGAATGAGGAACAGGAAGGCGTGTGTGTACTGCATGCCAAGCACTGTAGTAGGAAGGAACTTGACTGCCATCTCATTCGCCGTGACAGTATGTGAAACCAGAAACTTCTTTGAATGCAGAATATTATTTATTAGAAATAGAGAAAAGTGAGCAGTCTGAGGGGGTAGATTAAAGGAAGATTTCACAAGCCAAACTTCAAATATCCTGGTGTAAGTCTCATAAATTCTTTAGCTTACATCACCTGTTCCTTGTTGTCATCCCAAGTAGAATGTCAAAATGTAATTTGAACCTACAGAATAACTGCGTCATCCTTCCTGTCTGCCAAACACTTGATACGTTTAACTCAGCTTTGATGCTTATTGAATAATTAGACCAACTGCTCGACTAGAGTTGACTATCATGATCAGCTTTCAAAAACAGTAAGAACAGATGAGGTTAAATGACTTTCTCAAGGTCACATAGTAATTGGTACCTGATAAAAAGTACCTTGAACTTCCTGGTCTTACTTCAAGCTAGACAAGCATATGATATCTAAGAATAAGAAAAGCTCCATCCTAGAGCAGAGGTAGCATATAAACTTTAAGAGTCAGCTTCTTCCATAGGAGCAGCAAGAATGAACAGTGAACAGTATTTTGTTGTGCGGGAGGAAAACCTGTTCAAGCTCCAGCCGGCCTTCTGTTGTTTCTTCTCCCCACAATACATGATTTAGACTCAGGTGCATATTTGATGTTTCCCCTCCTTCATCTTTTGGAAAAATGCATTACTGTCAAAAAAATTGACAGCAGTTAGAATTGGAGCTATTCCTACTGATTTTGAAATATTCTGTAGTATCTTTCGGTTAGACTATAGAATCATGCATCATCCAGACATTTGAATGGTCCCTGATGCATATTTTAAGGAAATACTCCTGCTCTTATCTATTGATGTGATACACGGGACTCAGTTATAAGACTATGGGGTGGCTTCCACAAGGAACTACTGTATAAAGTTGTATCCAATTAGAAGCAATGCCCAATTAAAATGAAATCAATTTAGAAAGGCAGCACTGAAAAAATAAAAGATGTTCCTCATAATCTTAGAACCTGCCAGACGTGAAGTTTCAAAGAAACCCAGAAAGACAGACCTCTGCTAGGCTAAGTTACTTAGGTTCTTTTAACTGAAAACTGATGGAGTACCGATGGACTTAATTTTTCTAGCTTCCTTATTCTCTATCAAGCACTCTGCAGAGCAGTCTTTAGATACTGCTTGCATAGTTCCACGCCTTTGTAAAATACAGATTTCTTTCACAAACTTGGAAGAGTCCTGCTTCCTAAGTCGGCTTATAGACTGGGTGGGCAACTCATTAAAAAAGTCCTCTGTGCCTCTGATTAATTATTCCACCACATTTTTTTTCTGAGTGCTTACTGCACGCTTGGTGTAGGACACACAGAGATGCCACCCCGCCCCAGAGGTGTGCACTGTTGCTTATGAATGGCCACCCTGCCAGGCTGATAACACCCCTCAGAGCTTTAGTGGAGAAGTACTTCAGACACAGAGAGGTGTGGGAAGGGAGCTGATGAATCCCATCTAGGCGGGTGGGGATAGAGAATGACAGGGGAAACTTGCTATCTAGATTATTTAGTAAAATAAACAAAATCAAATGGAACTTGGTGGATCTCACCACACTGGCACCAGCAGACTCCCAGAGCTCTATCTTAGTGCTTGCATCACATTTCTAACTATATGGCATGCAGAGATGTGGTATCATTTCTCAGGCTCATTGTACCCAGGAGGCTTTTGCATGGTATCTCAGTGTCATGTCAGTTTGTGGACTTAGGTCTCGAATGGAGTCTTTGAGTCAGTGTCCATTGGCCCTTTAGCTGGAGAGTTAAGTAATTGTAACAGTGCTTAGGTCAAATTCACATTTAGCCTTGCCTACTAACTGCAGTGTCTTGTGTAGAAGTAAGACTTGATGTACAGGACTCAGTAATTAAGTATCCTTTCATTAAAAATAATACTATTACCATTTTGCAGTCCATGGCACTGGAGAGAAATTGCCATTTCAGTTAAAACAGTTATAAAGTTACTCATTTTGGAGTTCTGGTGTAATGCGTTGCACAGGTACCTGAGTGTGAAAAGTTGTGTACCTAGTTCCCAGAAACAGCAGTATAATTAAGAAAATGTTTGTCCTTTTATGCCATCCTTGCATCCTCAATTCCCTGCTTTTGATGTCCTTCACATCCCATTTCAAATGCCAAATCATGCACAAAACCAGCACATCTTTTTTTTTTTTTCTGGTATTATATACAGTAGTGTATTCTTTGACAGACTCTAAGATCTTCAAAGGTAAGACCAAAGTTGTCCTATTGCTGTATCTCCTATTTCACTTAGCAGAGTATTTCATTGTTCCTTTAACTGTAAAGATAGATAAATCTATGGTTGGACACACTAATGAACACACCAAAAAACAGATGCCAGAATACAGTGCTATGGAGCAAATGAAGTGCTCTGTCATGGGGTCTAACATGATAACAATATATCCATTCCTCCTGATTGCATGTTTAGCAGTCAGGGTAAACATGCATAGTCAAAAGTAGAAACTTTCTTTCTTTCTAAAGTATAAAAAAGGAAAACCATTCTAGACTGAACCGTTTTTGGCACATAAATGTACTTAGCATGAAGGATTTGATAAGTAGGAAGCATTCAAGGCTTGCCTTGAGATTATAAAAGCACAGTGTGTTATTTTCTCATTCTTCTTTTCAATGCTAGAGGATATTCCATTTCAAGCACCAGGCTCTGTAATCCAGGTCAGTAAATTAGGTTGTCTCCTTAGAAGAGCCGATCTTGTCTACCTCTTGTGCATTGTTGACTGTCTCACAGCCTCTTCTTTGAATAAGTTTCCACCAACTGGAAAATGACCTTTAAGTCCACAGGTAAAGGAGTTTTAGAAATGCCTTAAATCTCTTTCAGTAACAAAGATTGAGGTCTTCATTTTCCTGCACAGAATACTTGAATCTCACCTAAAATTTCAAACTGCATTCAACTGTGAAAGGGAAAAAAAGAGTAAAACAAAAATATACACTGTCTCCCAGTTGCTTTTTATTAAGAAAGTGGTCTATTTTTAATGTGCAGCGTTTTAATTACATACATCCCACTAGGATGATTTTTAAATTCTTTGCTGAATTGTAGAATATGAAATGTTTTAAGTTGAGTGGTTTACTAGAGGCCTTTTTTATAAATTGAACTAAAATAGAATGAATTTGCAAAATGATACGCCTAATTAGATCTTGACTAATATTTTAAAATTCCGTCTAAATATAAACAGCCTAAATGTTTTGTGTTTTTTCATGTTTTCAAACTAATATTCATTTTATACTGCATGGTAATTATGGATTTAATATTTTGTACATTATGAAATGAAACTAATTTTATGCTGTATTTTGTTACCTATATTTTGGTAATGAGACATTAATAACATTAATAACACTTTTTGACCTCAGAGTGTTCAAAAGTCATCATAATGGCTATTTGAGCAGAATTCATGAGTACAAAGCCTCATTAATAAGAATAAAAATACGTTTTTGTGTTAGTTTTCTGATAAGTTCATCTGAGCTTTTCTTTCTGTTTTCTTTATAGTGCGGGAGTTGGCCGGACTGGTTGTTTCATTGTAATAGATGCCATGTTAGAAAGAATAAAGCATGAAAAAACTGTAGATATTTATGGCCATGTAACTTTAATGAGAGCCCAGAGGAATTACATGGTTCAAACAGAAGACCAATACATCTTTATCCACGATGCACTGTTAGAAGCGGTGACCTGTGGAAATACCGAAGTGCCAGCTAGAAACTTGTATGCCTACATCCAGAAGCTGACACAGATAGAAGCAGGGGAGAATGTCACGGGAATGGAGCTCGAATTTAAGGTACGGCATTGGATATGATGGGGTTATTCAGGACCAAGTCATTGTGGGACTGCCTATGAGTAGTGGCTTCGTTTTAACCTTTCAGATTGTGAAGTACGAGATGCAGTTGACCTTCTCTTCACGTATCGGATCATAAAACACTTCTTTCTTCTCTATTCTTTGCTTCCTCACAATACCTTGAGCCCTTTTGTATCTTAATTGACAGATCATACTCTCAGAACATAATATTTAACACTTCAATAGGTATGTGAAGTAATTAGGCAGAAGTGAAAAGCAATGCAATTTGAATGGTTAAGGTAAACAAAACATTTATACCTAAAAAGAATATCTTGGTAACATTGCATTCAGGTGATCTAAAATTGTCTTTATCCATTTTCTTCCTTTCAACAGCGTCTAGCCAGCTCAAAAGCTCACACCTCAAGATTCATCAGTGCCAATCTTCCATGTAATAAATTCAAAAATCGCCTTGTTAATATTATGCCATATGAATCCACAAGGGTGTGCCTACAGCCTATCCGCGGAGTAGAAGGATCTGACTACATCAACGCCAGTTTTATTGATGGATACAGGTATATACTGTTGCTCCACTACAATACAAAGCCTTGATATTTACATGTGCCCTAGATTCATAATGAGAAAGAGTTTCATTTCAATTCAAAGCCATTTTCTTTATCCAGGCATGCAGTCCTTTGGTATTTATTTATTATTATTTTGGGAGCTAAGAAGCAATAGTTACGAAGATTTTAATCTGACTTTCTATAGTTTTCTTTCAAAAACCACTTAGATTTTTAAGGCACAAGTAAAGAAGCTGCTTAGCACCATATTTCATAGATTTAATAAATTATGTGAGCATCCTTTCTAAAACATAAAGATGTACAACTGTTCATGATTTTTATGACACATGAAACTGAGCCATTAACTTTGTACTAAAGTTTAAAAATGAAAAAGATATATACTATAATATTAACAAGGAAATTTTTGTGAAATCCCCAAAATGTACTAAATGCTCTGCTTTGATTTTGTAATCTTTGTTAGTACATGTTTGCAGAATGACTACTTTCCTCACAGGGAGTTAGAACATATACATGACACATCTTAATTCTTCTAATGTCCTCTTTACTTGCACTCTCCCCGCCTCTCTTAATGGAGATTTACAGCAACTGTATTAATAATGTGTGCTCCTTTCTCTTATCAGGTTTGATGTTCACCCATCAAGTGAGCTTTTATATATTCTTAAGATACATTAACATGCGCTTTCCTTCTGTGTAATTCAGACAACAGAAAGCATACATTGCTACCCAGGGCCCCTTGGCAGAGACCACGGAAGACTTCTGGCGGATGCTTTGGGAACACAATTCCACCATAGTTGTAATGCTCACCAAGCTGCGTGAAATGGGAAGAGTGAGTGTGTTTTCAACATTTACTTAGAAGGAAAGAGGATTCTACATACTACCTCCAGGGCCAGCCTCATTTCTTTGAGAGGCAGAGTACTCTAGTCACAGATGGATCATTCATTACTTCTTGCTGGTGTCTAATTTACAAGGTCACATCAACCTCTTCAATGTGCATATTTTGAGGAAAGATCTATACTTTGGTCCTGATGAAACAAAATTATAATGATAGATAAGTCATCAGATGCCCCTATTTGATGTATTGCTCTCATATATTCTTATTTCTTCTACTCTGGACAGGCTGATTTCTTAAGTAAATGGCTATCATTTCTCCAGATGCAGAAGGAACTTTACTTTCATTCCTGGGGAAGATTTTTAAGGATGTACTCTAGTAACCTCAGATGCTTTTTAAGAAATGATTGTTCTGAAATATACATAAAATGGTATTACCGAAATCGAGAGGCCTGTCACTTAGGTTCAACTCATGCAAACGTTTTGCAGTATTTACTTGAGATATTTTGTTCTTTGTGTAAACTAAAGGCTAGAAATGCAGTTAAAATCCAGTATCAGACTAGGAAGGTAACTGACTTGTTCTGATTTGGCACTGGCTTTCTGCAAGGCTTACCCAAATCATTAAAACTGCTTGGGCCACACGTTCTTCAATTGACAAATGAGATTGAAGATCAATTCAAAGGTTTCTTTCCACATTCACATTGATGATGCTTTTCATTCCTAACCACAGTGGTACACATCTGCTGTGATTGTGCAGAAATGTGGGACTGATGTGGCCAGCTTTGCCTAAAGACTGATGTAATTATGTGGATAACTTGCACATAAAAAATACCTACCCTGTCAAGTATTCAGATCAGCTGATGTAATATTAGGCAGCTACTATATGCCAGCTACTGTGCCAGATTCCACAGACAAATGTTAAACCAGATAGATTTCCTATCCTTTTGGAACTTAGAATTTCAAAGAGCAAGTAAGCCACGTGCAACGAGAATTGCCTGAATTTTGGAGTTTTGTTCGTTGTGTGATGAAATCTGTTCGATACTTTATAGTTTGATACTAAGTTTTCCTTTTAGGAGAAGTGTCACCAATACTGGCCAGCAGAACGATCTGCAAGATACCAGTATTTTGTCGTAGATCCCATGGCTGAATACAACATGCCACAGTATATCCTAAGAGAATTCAAGGTCACAGATGCCAGGGTAAGTTGGGGCACTCTCCAGTTCTTAACAATTAGCTGGAAATTAGTCTCAAATAGACTTCTGTGGGAGAAACGTTTGCCAAGTGACCATCGTCCCATATATATGTGCAAGTTTTCCTGCCTGTCAAGAATTCTCATAAACCCAGATTTGGCTTCCATTCAAACATAACATCTGGCAGCCCAACTTCGGGTATGCACTTTGTGAGTGTTTTTTCTGGGACGCATTTACTGATTGGTTGGCTATGCTTACATTTACCTTCTCAGCGCACTCTCTTTGGAGGTTTTTTGATTTCTTCATTACTTGAGGCTGTAAATATGTTGTTGTTTTGCAAAGCCCTTCAGGTCATGTGGGCTTGGAGGTTAATTTGGAATGATTTTAAAACTGCACAGCAAGTGGCATTCTTTAGAAGAATCTGACAAGCTCTGCACATTCTAATTTGATTCCTGGCATGGTTTATTCCTCTGTGTGCTAATGTGTCTCTCCGTGAGAGCTGTGCCTCTATGACCCTTGTTGGCTAGTTTTCATTCTGAATTTCTTATCAAGATTGCTGAGTCCAAGATTCAGTCCTGATAGAAGATGCTCTGTGCATATACTTTAATATCTTTGCCTTTGGCCACTCTCACATCATGACTGCGAACACACCTTAGAGAAGACTGGGTCAATTCAAAGCCCTGCTTTATTTTTGAAACTGTCACAGGGGATGGGTTGAAAAAAACTCCACGGTAGAGCTATTTTCTTGATCCATTGTTTTTTTTGTTTTTGTTTTTGTTTTTGTTTTTCTCCAGGAAAGCAGCTTTCTTCAAACTAATGTTTGGAGATAGTCAGCTAATCCCCAAAGCCCAGCGCTGACTGTTGACCTAAAGAGACATAGAAAGTGGTTAACAGGAGGGTTAGCCCAGGTGACAGACTGGTTAATGCCAAAAAAGTCTGAAGTATTAACTACCCTGAAGGCGACTGCACCCAAGGCAGCCATTAAGTCCCTAGGTCTCATTTTTGAGTTGCAGAAGCATGCCTTGGTGACCTGCCCTGTTGGTTTTTTAAAATGACCTCTCAGAATTTGAAGCTAGGTATGTGAGTAAAAATCCTGAACACAGCTTTCGCACTGTTTCTGAGAACAGAGACCAGGAGACAGGCTCCACCAGTGGCAAAAACATCATTACTGCTCCCTCCATCCACAAATGAAAGCTGATCACAATAGCCACAAAGAAAGATTGAAACAGGACATGGCCTACGTTTTTTTTTTAAATCCCTCAGTGATTGTAGAATTTTCTTAGCTACCACACTTGCTATTTGTGCTCCTGGTGTGTTTCTGATCTCAGCTTCCCAGTGCAGAAAGCAAAGCTGGCACCTGAGAGTACAGTCTTATTACACAGGTAACCTTTAAATGGAGTCAGGCGGTCTCACGTCCAGATAGTAAAAGTTTGTGCACATGACGTCTTCCTGCTATTAAAGGCAGCAGTGGTCAGAAATGAGATCCCAAGGACGTTCATAGGAGGACAAATCTGCCCTACGTAGGCTCTGGCTTTTCTTCCTCTGCTTTGCAAACCTTTCCCCGAAACAGAAGGAAGTCATGTCATGCTTCCATGGTAACCGTCCTCAAGTTGATTTTGGAGTCAAGCAGTTACTTCTGCATCTCTCGAGTTATCGCAGTATTGGTGTGATCTTCCTGTTTCACCTCTGGCCCCAAATGATATCAGCCAAGTGTCTGCCCTGTGTGCGCCATGAGGGTAGTTGATGGGTGCTCGTCTAGAATTGAGCCAACGTCTCTTTCAGTAGGACTGAGTGAGGCAAATTGAGCCTCTGTCTACTTACCCAGAATATTGACAATATGCACACTTATATGCAAAGAACATCCATGGTGAAAGAGGTGTTAACAAGGACGGAAAGGATAAAGCCTCTTCTGCTAGAAACAGGTCCTCTAAGCTTGTAATCTCTCTCTTCTGTAAACACAGGGTCCCTCCTGCTCCTGCTTATAAAAATTCAGAAAAAAATCACAAGTGTCTTCATATCTTTCTGAGTCTGAGCAATTTTCCCTAATCACATTAGTAAAGAAAGACTCCTTGTGCCTCTGGCTTGTTTTCTTTTTACCTTTGGATTGTCTGTGTAAAGGCCCCACAGCCTATTTAATTCCTGAGGCCAGCCTGGAAGAGTCCTTTTATAGACAGGGGAATTTATTTGGTCTCCTTAAGGGATGCTTCACTTTCTGCCGAACAGCAGTCACATGGCACGTGCTATGTCTCCTGCTGTGGTCAGAAATTGTATGCTTCTGAGGCATGTGCAGGAACCAGGTTCACAGCAACTACCTGGTTTGTGCCAGATCCTTTGAATGTCACCATTTGTCATTGGACAATGCTAGAAATAAGCACGCATGGCAGATGTGATATCATGACAATAAGAAAACCTCTGTTGTGGACAACATGCCTTTTTTCAAAACTAGGAAATTATTGGATTCTGAAAGAGGTTTTCTGTTTGGTTGTTTTTTGTTTTTTGGGTTTTTTTTTTTGTCTTTTTGAGACAGGGTCTTGCTATGCAGTTCAGACTTCCCTTGAGCTCACTTTGTAGCCCAGGCTGGTCTCAAACTTGCAGCTATCCTTCTGCCTCAGCCTCCCAAGTGCTGGGATTACAGGCATACACCACCACACCGGGCAGAATTTTTAAAGAGAAGATCTATTTGGAAAGAATTTGGACCTGATCAATGATTCTGGACTGAACCTTTGTGTCACAGAAGCATTTGCTAATAAGCAATATGGCTATTTGCTATCAAAGAACCTAAGTTCTTAACAGATCATTGTGTGAGGGAGAATAAATTTGTAACTGAAATAAATGCAGACAGTATTAATAGCAGAAGAGACACACAGTTTTTAGTAAAACATGTTTCTAACCTCTTGTGCTCTTTATATCTCTGGAAACAATTACATACGATTGCTTTTGTGCTCTGTGCACTTGAGCAATCCCTGCGGTGCCCTCCTTTGTGACTGGGTGTGTGACTTTCGCTCCAAAGGATGGCCAGTCCCGAACCGTGAGGCAGTTCCAGTTCACTGACTGGCCAGAGCAAGGAGTGCCAAAGTCTGGAGAAGGATTTATTGACTTCATTGGCCAAGTCCATAAAACAAAAGAACAGTTTGGCCAAGATGGACCCATTTCAGTTCATTGCAGGTGAGTCGAGAATTGAGAATACTAACTTTTCACTTGTCAGTAATGCAGGAATGGCTTGGAAAACAAATGTTGTTGTACATTCACTTTTGACATAAGCTTGTCATAGTGAATCTACATAATTGAAATATTCTCAGCAATGGATTGTATAATTTGTTTTATTTCTTTTTCCATGAAATGAAAGTAATCAGAGGAAAATTTTTATCCCCAAAATTTAGCTCGTGTAGAAAAAACAAACTGCAGTTTTCCAGGAATGGTTGGTATAACCCCCTGTAATAACTTATGCGAATCATTTCTCCCTTGCTTTGCTTTCATAGTAATGTCCCAGTAAGTATCTTTCTATATCGTTCTCTGCTGTGTTTGTCTTCTTGGGAGAACCATAAATAGCTATCCAGCCTTAATGACAGTACTAATTCTTGCCAGTCAATAAGCGATTAGAATGGTACCTCAGTTAAAAATGCAATTTGCTTGAAAATTGTTGCTACATCAGAAAATGAAGCACCTCCAATTTAATTATTTCTAGAGCATTTTATAATTTAAGTCATTGAAGTTAATAGAAATACCAAGTAAATGGTTTTAAACATTCACCATAAATTTAGTGCTTTTGGAAGTTGCTATACAAAACTGTTGTAGTGAAAGAAATTTACCTAATTTTATGTAAGCTGCTATATTTTAGAACTTCAGCTGCTTTAAATCCCAGTTTTTATTGTTAAAATCTTGAAGGAATTCTTTTCTAACGTTTATTTTCCTTCAATGCTTCAAAAATATAGTTCATAATGATATGACAGGCAGGATCTCAAAATAGGACACACATTCCACTATTCTACTGAGTCTTCAAGACGTAAGTTCTAGGCTTAATTTTATTATGATATTTTATGATAACAGGGAATTCTTGGGGCTTTATTTTTCTCTGCTGATCTCTGAGAGCCTTCCTAGCCCCTCTCTGTTGATTACTCATGGAATATTATATGAGAAACGGTTCTTGTTTGTATGCATTTCTCTGTGCCACATTATCAAACACCCTTTATTCAACCAAAGATCATGTAGAAAGAGACACCTGGACTGAAATAGTCAAAGTGGATATGGTATACTGACTCTGAAACCCTTGCTATTTCTTTTAATTTTACACATAATTCTTTTAATCAACTAAATGCAAATTCAAACCTTCCTAATATGATCTATAGGGAAAAAAATGTTTGATGTATATTTTTAGTTCTAGGCTTTCCCATTAATGTAGTATGTATTACTTCTCAGTGCTTATGTAATTACAGAATGATGTAAGCACTTTTTTAGGATAAATGCTGTGGCTTATTATTAACATACCTTACATCCCTTAGTACTTTTCTCTTATTTGGGAATATCTTGAAAACACCAATCTTCTAATTTATATCCTATTGCACTAACATGATAAAGTCAGTAAATTCAAAAGTTGTAAGGGTAATGCTTGTTCTTATCTTGAAAATACTTAGAAAGTCAACAGCATTGTATTTGTTGTTACAATTTAGCAAACCCAAGGTAAGATGGACTCAGGAACACCTGCACTGTCCCACAAAAGGTTATAAATCCTAGTCTCTCATGAGCGAGAGGAATTTAACAGAAGCCTTGACTGCTGTTGGGCATCCCTAGCTACTTTTTAAAGCATCACACAACGAATCTGTTTAGACTCTTCAGAAATCACAATTTATAAATGGACACACTGTTTGTGGATGCCTGTCAGCTACTTCCCCAAGTAAATGAATCCTTCCACTTTCTACAGCCTGCACCCAAGCGTTACACATGCCATTTAATTAGAATCCAGAAATGCGGGGATTTTTCCGATTATTCACTGTTTTGCTCATTACCTAAACCTCCAGATGCTTTTCTACTTCTTAAGTGCACAGAGCTATGAATTAATTTTCATTCTTGCTGTTGTGATGGAATTATCTTAAAATAGTAAAGACAAGAGAAACTCAAAATCTTGCTAACATGCTATAAAAGGTTTGGGGGATTTTCACTGCTAATCATCTAAAAATAGTGGATAAGTATAGAGATCACTGGCTCTTAGCTGTTCTTTTAGAGATCTCTTTAAGAAACTGTTGAAAGTTATAGTCATGAAACAGGAAAAAGTGACATTTCCACAATCCATACATATAAGACATTCACAGCCCCGCCAGAAGACTAAGTAAAAATTCCTCCAAGTCAGATAACCTCATTTTAGGAAATTTCTTTTTTTCATGTCTAAACCAATGTCAATATAGTAATTATAGCATCTATATATCTGGTTATATACTTATAGGTTTAAGTGATGGGACACCCTACATGGATTATGACTACATAAAATGAATAATTCACTGGAAAACTTGAAGATGCCCAATTTATTTCATCTTCCTCTGAATTGTTGCATACTTTAAAATATTTAATAGGCAAGATCTTAGAGTTTCAGAATCTGCATGATTACTATAAGTCTATGTTTTATTTACCCCTTCTCTTTTTCCCTTTATTTTACAAGGTTTGTGTTTGTGTTATCTTGGTCTTTCTAAAGTGATATTTAGCCACAGTTAAAATGTTATTTGATAAGACTTAATCCTAATTACCTTTTCCTTACGTTACCATAATGTACTGTCCCAAAAGTGGTCACGTGGCGAACTGAATTCCACATTTTCATAACGAAGTTATGCAGACTTTTGGAAAGTAGAAGCTAGAAGAAGAATGAAATCTGTCCGTGACTATCCAAATCTCCAGTAATAACACTGCCTTTGCTGTTTTGGTAGTGCGGGAGTTGGAAGAACTGGTGTCTTCATAACACTGAGCATTGTTTTGGAAAGAATGAGATATGAAGGCGTTGTAGATATTTTCCAGACCGTCAAAATGTTAAGAACACAACGGCCAGCCATGGTACAGACAGAGGTAAGAAAAGTTTCCATGAGTTTCACATCGCCAATCCACATTTTACTGTGACCTGAGTCCAGAGATCAACATCAGACACAAAATACAGGAAAATGTTATAAGAAAAGCATCATCATTTCATATTTTTGAACCTCATTTTTCCCTTTTTAAAACTGGGTGACAATATCAATGTCTTAGTATTACAGTAGAGATTACCTGAGAGTCTCTATTAAGTTGAATGATGTTCAGTTGTCACCATTTGACCACTTTTCACCTGTAAAATGGATATTTCATGTTTCCTTATATGCATACTGCTACAACAAATATTGCCTATATCTATATATCAATATATTGAAAGCATAATATTTGCCTCTGAAGGCATACAGAAAGAGAAGGCTGTATTATATGCCACTGATGGCTCTATAGCTCATTTCTTAAATATTTGGATCTTGGACAATAAACCTAGTGAAATTAACCCCCCCTTTTCTATTCTAATGATTGATATGGAAATTTTACTGTTTCTCAGAATAATATGCTTTAGCCATTTGACCTAATGACTATTCATTTCTAAGGATAATGTGATAGTGTTTATATTCCTCTAATGGACACTGAATTATATATGTTCCTCAATTCAGCATTTATGATATCTTCCAGACTTTGATTTCAAAATAGTGTGGGCATTTGGCTCACAATGCTCAAAACATTATGTCAGCCTGACAAACTTAATGGGTGTTGGGGATGACAGAGGAAAATTGGAAGTTTAAAAAGCCTTAACATTTAGGCAGGCAACTTACTACGACAAGATAGGAAAGCAAACTCCATTTATTCTACATTACCATTTTTATTGTAGAAAAATGCACTTTTAAGCAAAATAGAAACTACTTTCAGCACCATTGGCTACTGAAAATAAGTTTCTTCTATGGAGAAAATCCTGCTTTCTCTCATGGCTATGTCATCTGTAAATCATAATTTTTTCATCTCTCTAATAATGCTATTTATTCCAATGTGACAACGTTTTCCCTTTATAAAAAGAGACATGTTTCATACTGTTTCATCTTAGCATAAGCCATTCTAGCACACACACTGGCAGTCACACTGCAGTAGGGCAGAAGGCAGAGGTGTTTTTTGATATGGTCAGCCAATATGTCATGCCATTTTCAGGGGTGAAAGGCTTAAAAGCCCACTGTCCTGTGTAAATAAATGGTTTGCGTGTATGGAGTTCCACACTAGCTAGTTTTTGGCTCCTTCTCTCCCTTGTATATGGACATCAAAAATGATGGTCATTCTGACTACAAGCAGCCCAGGTCTGCTGTCTAACCAGAATTGGTTTTAACTTAAATTTGGATGGCTGTGGTGCCAGAAATATAAGCCCGTATTTCCTTTAAGACAGTTTGCATCTGTATCCATCTCTGGAAATTTGCAGGCTGAGAATGCGTTATCATAGTGGACCAAGTCATTGTAAAAGATGATCATGGCATCTAAGAGGTCTGTGCGTTTAGTTGGTGGTAATTGTTTCTTACTATTTGGAAATCAGTTCACACTTGTCTGGAAGAGAATGCTTTCCAGATCTGTCACGTACTTGGCATTAGGAAACTATTCTGGTCAGGTTGATTGGTGAAGTTAATAAACATCTCCTATGGCTAATTGTTCTTTGCTCACCATTACTGCTTAGTCATTGGATTGAATTGATTGAAGCCAGTAACGACTCTGCTCCTATAGAACTGTAACTTTGTTTTCCAATGCTGATTTTCTATTGTTTTATACTCACAATCCCTTTTTCTCCCCGCTACCTTATCTCCTGTAGGATCAATACCAGTTTTGCTACCGAGCCGCACTAGAGTACCTGGGCAGCTTTGATCACTATGCAACGTAGAAACCCCTGACCCCTTCTGGATTTTTACTACAGGCCCTTCAATATCCATGGAGTCTCTTCTGAGCCATACAGGGCACTTGAGAAGTCCTTCTTAACTTCTAACTAACAACCACTTAGTGGGACTATTACATACAACCAATTAAAAACAAACTATTCCAGGTGGACCAAGAATTCAGTTTAATAATCTAACCTGAAAAATAATAGAGAATCCTGACTTACGAGGTATCTGAAGGATTTTATTTACAGATACCTCAAGGATTCAACATAAAGGGAAGAAGAAACCACAGCAAAGAACCACCATCTTGTTTGAGATTGTTTGACAGGTACTAAGAGAAAGCGCCAGAGTGCTACAGTTCAGTGCAAGATGTTTGCTGGTGTAGCTTCTCAGAATGAAATGGACTCTGCTCCGACCTTGCCCCTACCCACCATACCGCTCATAATAAGATTTTAACAGTAAAGGTGGGGAATGTTTAAAAAGAAAGCCCTTGATTTAGTTTTCTAGTATTGTAAAGATACTGCTGCCCTCTACTTCATTTCTAACCGTGTATACTTTTTTTTAACAAAATGTATCATTCGATAAAGTGAATTTTAAAAACAAAGTTACATAACTCTTCATTTTTTATTTCCAAACTGTAGGTTTTTTTAAGCTGTAGAACTGTTATCTGTAATATCTTGCTGTAGAAATATCAAATAATTTGAAACTTTGCACATTTTTGTGCAATACTCTTTAATCTACAGTTTTGCTCTCATCAGATATTACTTTAACACTTTGGTTTGAATTAATGAAAAAGTACCCATTCTCTTTAAATGGTCAAAGAGAATTTAATTTTGTTTTGCTTTTGGAATCAACAGGGAGGCGCAAAGTATAAAGTTGCTGCTAACATATATACATATATATCCATATTTTGTAAGGGTGTCTATGTATATATAGACAGTGTGTCCACACAAAAGTTAGATTTAGCTATCATTCAGTTCTTTCATGATTTAGTTTTTTTTAAGAGTAGAAAAGCTATTATAAACATCTTTTTCAATTCTTAATTTTATGACATATTGGGATTTCTTAATATCGCAAAATTTTAATTTTCTAAAGGGAAATGAGGAATGCACATCAGTGATTGTCAAACCTCACCCCCTAGTTTCCAATTCAATCTCCCCACACCCACGCAGTCATGTTCACAAATACCATTTTGTTAGCCAGGTTTCCAACCAAGTTCAATATTCCTAACAATCTAGTGCAATAAAAAATTATTAAATATCTAAGAGGTGTGCATGTGGGAAAGGTCAGTGCATAACCCTTTAGGAGGGGAGAATGTTGTAATATATCAGCTATCAAGTTGTTTAAAAAAGTGTATTCACTCATATATTGTCTATAGTATGTGCTATGAAATTTGCATTTATGATATGTAACAGGGGCAAAGCCAAACTCATTTTACTCTGTTCGGTAAGAAACATTTTGTGGCATACAGCATTCCTGGGAAGTGCTGTACTTTGTTTTCTTTTGGTTTTAGTTCTGCATTTAGAGTGCCTTATAATTGATGCCTATTTTAATAGCATTTCTTTTTAGCTTTGGGTTCCTATTGCCATTAGTTGTTCATATCTGTTACCCTCTCAATTAAAGCATTAAATGTTTACCACATGTACAGAAACTCTTTGAATAATATGCATTCCTAGTGTTCAGCCAAGTCGGGGATGTTAGTGATTGTACCAGCCCAAAGCACTTGGATAATCAGGGCTCTTCTGTTCATAATTGTCAGCATCAGGAAAAGCTACTCATTTTATTTATAATCCCTTCCAAATCTGCTCTGAAACATGCAGTAACTGCACCAAACTTATTTTAGTAACAAATGTCATTGGCAACTTTAGGATATATTTGATATTTCATTAGGATTTTTCTGAAAGTGGAAATAACATATATCTCCCCCAAATCCTCCAACATATGTTCTTTAGGAAGCCATGGATGGTGGCATGAGTTCACCATGTCTTACAGGACTTTAAAGAACTCTCAAAAACTCCTAAGAACTCTAAAAGAGTTTTGATATAGGTATAATTTTTGCTTATTTTAGCATCATGTATGTTCTGCATGGAAGGATGTTTGTTTTAACGTTTTCCCATCGCTAGAGGAATGAAATCCAAGAGACCAAACACTTGCAAGCATCATATTTGAGCACTTTTGTAAAAAAAAGAAAAGAAAAAAAGAAAAAAATATATGTAATACTTAAAAAAAAAGTATCTAGAAGGCTACCTCAGAATGAGACTCTCTAATCTACATCAGAACCAGAGAAGAATGTGCACTATGTGGGTCTGTTGTTTTCTTTTAGTTTGTATCTTTTGAAGATTTATCCAAGTGCCAGATTACTCAGTGCTATAACTTTCTTTTAGTGAGACAAAGGGGGTGAGACAGACATTGTGTCATCCGGGCACACCATGTTAGACACATAGACCCTGATGGAACATTGCACACCACAGTCATTGGCCAATGAACAGTTTGTCTCCCTGAAACGAAAACTGCCCATGTGGCAGAGGACAGATGACCATAATCACAAAAAGGAAATGAATGGGATGCATACCACAGACGAACGAGGCAGAGAAGATTCCAGAAACCTTACTATTCAGGAGCTGTTCCCAGAACTAACTCCCTTACTGTCATTGATGTGCATTCCACTCTGTACTTTTCTGTACAACCATTTGAGTTTTACTTTCCCAGGTGAACACCTTTATCTGCCACTTCCATAAACTTTCAAGTTTCCAATTATTTTCACCACCATAACCAGTACGGTGCTATTATTTACCTATGTATGTGTAGTTATGTATAATTTTGTAATTAGTTACAATGGTAAAAATCAAAATATATAAAAAGTGATTTGTACAGAACTTTATTTTAGCTCTTTTTTAAAAATGATTTGCATGGTTAGACAAAATGGCGAGGACAGCCAGGGGAGGGAAGGGCCTCTAGGGAACTTTGCACTTTCTATACCTTTGTACTATGCACTGCCCTATTGATTCTACACCCAATAATGTTATTACTTGAACCCATCTGTAAGAAACTGCTTCCAAAATTCATTTATGTGTATGTAAATAACACAACTCAGAAACAGGAAAGGAAAAAAAAAATCCGCAGTAATGCACACATTTTTTTTTTCCTTTCCTGTTTATTTTTGGTTTTGCTTTGTTTTAGTTCCTCTTTTTACTTTTAATTCCCTTTTCATTTTCCTTTTGGGTTTTGGTTTCCTTTGGGTTTATGGGTGCCCCTGATACTCCAGCAGAGATCAGAAGGCTACAGATCCATCTCTCCATCCGTTATGTGGCTTTGCCATCCAAGCTTGGAGTGTCTTTACAAAGATAATACAGTTGTGTTCTTTGCTCTCGTTTTGGATGCATAGACTGAAAACTTAAAATAACTTGTAAAATGGCTTGTTAAAAGATACAATTACCTCTAATTAGTAGTACGCGTAAATGTTTTACAGAATGAAAGGCGTGCTTTTTATTTTCTTACTTCGTTACATTGGTGGCGAAAGAAGTCTGTATGAAAATCAGTTCTTTGCTGACACAAGTTCCATTTGTTACAAATGAATTCTAATAAAAATGTCAGTGTTATGCAGCCATGGCATTTGCTTTTGTCTACTCAGACACGTTGGTTTTGAACCCCCTGTGTACTCTCCCACTTCTCTTCTGCTTAGCTAGTTATGTCCACTCTACTTATAGAATTCTTTTTACCAAGAGCCTGCTCTTTACAAGTGGCTACATGTCAAGGTAAGCACTCCACACTATAAGCAAACTGCAGCTCAGAGAAATAATTCTCCAAGTTCACATAACAAAGAAAGAAGCATTGGTATTTAAGTGTGATCATCTCAGATGACTGACATCTTAAAATAGACCCATGGTTAATTTCTTAAAATCTTTGAAAACAAAGCAGAGAAAATTCTTGGCTGTTCTTCAGTGTTCTCAGTACTAATAGTCAGAACTGTTCTAATTATTACCAGAGTGGCACTATACAGTAAGATCCTGCCACCATTTGCCTAGAAATCCATGCAGCGAGAGAGACTGCCATTGAAATAATGATAAAGTTACATTCAGAATGTGCTATGAAGGAAAATATGATATGCCTGAAGATAGGACTTTCAATTTGGAATGGCAGAAAGTCTGATTCAGATTGGTCTACAAGGAAAGAAAAGTTTTACTGACTCATAAACAACGATGAAAAGTGGACTCATATGAGAAGGGTAAGAATACACAATGTCCATACACAGTACAACTGGATTCAAGGTTCAGGTGATGTCAAGACTTGACATCTTTCCACATCCCCTGCCTGGTTTCTCTTAGTGTCAGTCTTAAGCTCCTTTTTGCGACCCCTGAAGGCTTTCGGATCAGTAACATCACAAGCTAAGTTAGTGGAAGAGTTTATTTCCCTAACAACACCAGGAAAAGTCCTAAAATGGAGTAGATTCTTGTTGGCCCAGCTGACCTTACTTTAATGAGTAATCATCTCAGGAATATAAATATGGACAGAAAGAGAAGATGTGTTCCATGACTGATTGAACCGAGGAGAGTTTTAGTAGAATATTGTGAGACCAGCAACTGGCAAATCAATCTAATGAGATAAAGTAAGACACAGCACAGGTATACTTGTTAATGTCATCAACCTCAAGAAAGCTACTTGTTGCCATGGAAACAATGACAGTGAAACAATCCTATTATTCAAACATTCAGAAAATCTTGATTTGGAATAAACAATTAGATTCTGTTTCGCATTCTTCCTCTCTGTCTAATTGGCCTTCTGTTTATCAGATTTGATCACCCTGTTGGTTAATTGTGTAGGCACAAAATCTTTAACCAGGAAATCAGAAGAAAAAGTTCAGGATGCACTTATTTGGCATTTTCCACATTGTAATCGTTCTTCTGAGCAGATAACTGATTAGAATGCCAAAGGAAAAAAATATATATGTACATGCAGGAAATAGTCAATACTAATTAATTAATAACTTAGCCCTGTCCATGATGAAATGAGTTTCAGTAAATTAAAATGTAATTTGTAGAGGTGCAACAAGATGGTACCTGAGTAAGTTCCCCAGCATTTTCTCCCCACAGACATAATTTGAACAGCTATTGACACATTGAACCACCTTCAAAAGAGCTAAGGCAATCAGAGACCAGAGTGTCTGATATTAAACAAAAGATGCACTGAGGAAGGCAAGAAGGAAACAGTTGCTCCTGTCACGTCTCTCCCAATTCTAAGTAACCCAGAACAGAGAAAGAAGCCTCCTTCTTAAGATAGGATGAGAGAAATGTCAAGGCTTCAAGTCCAGTCCCATGACTACCACGGTGAAATCTGGTACTAAACAAAACCCACATGACTGCCAGACCAATGTTCATCGATAGCCCCTGGAACAGCATTAGGCTGAACAGCTGTCTCCCTCCACCAAACCTCCAACTTTGGGCAGGAGACCAGGGAGCAAGAATCCATTTGCATGGATGCAGGGCACCAAAAGTAGCATAGGGCATTGTCTTGGATTCCACTATCAGGTCTACCATGGTGAGAACCAGTACCTGGCAGAAATTGGAAAACCCCATAAACAGGTCAGAACTCAGATAGAACCTGCACACCAGCCTGGCATCAAATAGAAACGTCTTTGCCAAGTTTCCGCTGCATCAGTTTGAGACTGGGAGTGAACCTGATGTACACCTACCCTCTTCCCAATATTGGTCAAGCCCCTGGGGCTCTGAGGCTCAGACATGGCCAAGCTGACCTGTTGACCTTCGGCACTCCTACCTGCTTCGTGTATCCCTGACTGGGAGGGTCCCAGCAGCTGCAACTCTGGGCAAAACCCATCTGACTGTCAGCCTACGTGGCCACAAGAATACATTCACCAACACTTGCCCAGTATAGCATGGTACAAAATTGCATGTGTTGAGGGTGGGACAGAGTAGTAAGCACAGTACTTTGCCCTGAAATTTTATGCTGGGTTTGTGAAGACTAATACTGAGAAAGTCCTAATGTGCCCCATCCCCAGCCTGACTGTGGAGAGAGCCCCTGGAACACCCCAGTGCCAGGGGAAGACCTATAACCCCAGTCAAGCAGACTTCTATTCCACCTAACATCACCCATGACCAGTTGTAATGGTTTGGGCCTTAATGCCACCTCAGCAATAAGCAGCTCATGGCAGCATGGGCCTTGGTCCGATCCGGGTGTCATGATGGTCTTAGCAAGCTGTGTGCTTAGGATGAAACCCCATTCAGTAGTGGTAGTAACCACATATATGATATAGAAGCTTGGGGCTTGTCCATGGTGACTCTGCCGAGAGCTGGGAAGAATGCTGCAGTGTCTGACCTCAGACCAGTTACTTGGAAGAGGCCTGTAACCCTACTCCAACTTCAGAGAAATGTTTTACAGCACATATAACTCTTCCTAGGGATTCTCCTGTTTCTTAAAAAGACAATAACAGTATATTTGACACAAACTGGGCTTGGGTTGCCTTCTTGCATTGAAAGAGCAACAGCATATGCACCAGTAGATGCCCACAAAGCCTGGACTTAGGCATCATTCCGTACTGCAATTATGGAAGTGACTGCAAGCTCAGAGCTGGTAAGGGGAAGAGGCTATTGGGAATTTCTGAAAAGACATTAACGAAGCCCAATTAA